AAAATAAATAAAAGTCAGCAACTACAAAAACTGTGGCTGCTAACTTTTAAAATACAGACACTTACCTGTCCTGGGATCCAGCGGTGTCCTCACCACCACTGGTTTCACCAGCCGTCTTCTCTCCCTGGCACCAGCATCTTCAGTGTAGGGCACCCGGCTGTGACAGCTTGTGGCTTCATGTGCGAGAAGTGCTGCGCTTTGTGAATGGCCCGTAGTCTTCTGGGACCTGTCACGTGTCCCAGAAGACTATGGGGAAGGAGGGAGGACAACGTCCGCTTCCAATTGCCTAGGCAATCGCAGAGGAAGTGGGAGCTGGTACCTGTCAAATTTGGGTACCTGCTCCCCAAAGGTGCCAATCCTTAATGAGATGCAGGGGACAAAGGCTAAAGCAGAACTTCCCCTTTTAGGTGGAGTTCTGCTTTAAGTCCATGTACAAAAGCATTGATGTATGCTTTAATGTGGCCGTGTACAGCCATTCACTTCTATGGGCAGCTGCATAAGTCACCTGCATGCAACTCTCTGGACAGGAAAAAAACAATAGGTTTTTACTCTAGAAAATATTTAAGCCTCAAACCGTTCATGTGCATTAGGCCTTTGGGTCTGTTAAGCATGCCATTGACAGACTTTTATTATAAGTGTTCAAGAAGTGCAAAAATGATGTGCTGATCATGTCAGAAATTCAGCGTTCCAGTGTCTTGTGCCATCTCAGGAATAGTAATTAGCCCTCCCAGTTCTTATCTTAGAACTACAGAACGATTAGCATTTATGTTGTAGAAACTGTTCAGCAGTTTAGCTAAATAAAACTGGGTAAAACTGTCAAATATCAGTCAACAAACCACAAAACCGGTCATAAGAGGGAAGTGTACTTCTTTTAATTAAACAGGAACTCTTTCTGTATTTTTTTTTTTTTATTAACCAGGGTTGCTCTTTTATTGAAGTGGTATGAGATAACCCCTTTTTCTGTACTTGCAGGGTCTTTAAGTGGCTAGAACACAGAGAAATGTGCATGTACTGCAGAGATGTACTTCACATTTATTTTTTTCCCTTACCTCGAAATCTATACTTGTCCTGACCTAATTATACCTGGCAAAGGTCCCAAAACATCTACAGAATAAAAGCAATGAGGCAACAAGAAGTCTCTTAACCAGTTCCAGCTGGCCATACACATATATGCAGCTTCTCAGTGGGGGGCTTTAAATGTCCAATGGCTGCATATCTGTGTCCCTATGTAGACATTTTCTGTGCTGAGAGCACGTACCCTGCGCTTTCCCAACACAGTAACCAGCAGGTAACAGACATCTTCCGATACAGGGGAAAAAAAAAAAAAAAAAAAAAAAAAAAAAAAGTGCAGAAAGAGAGAGTGGATAGGAAAAAGAGGAAAGCAATGAGCAAAAGAAGGAAGAGAGTATGTTTTGAAAAAAGGCAGAAAAAGAGAGGGAGAGAGAAAAGAAAGCAGCAGAAAGGAAAAAGAACGGGGGGAGAGAATAAGAAGAAAAAAGAGAGAGAGAGCGCAAGAAGAGAGAGAGCACAAGGAGAGCGAGAGAGCGCACAAAGAGCGCAAGGAGAGAGAGCTAGGAGAGAGAGCGCGCGCGCGAGCTAGGAGAGAGCGAGAGCGCAAGGAGAGGGGGGAAAGCGCAAGGAGAGAGAGCAAGGAAACCACAGAAACTGTAGTGATGAAATCTAATGATCATTTTAGCAGGAACACTGTCTGCATAAGATATGTACATTTTTTCCCACACTTGAATGGGTTTTCTCCAACAAACATACAAGCAGGTTACTAATGCTCCATCCAGTGGGGCCGCATTGTGTGACAGTTTGAAAGCTCAGTGGTTCATCATACTTTGTATTTTGCTTTAAACCTAAAAAGCTTAGGTGCCACATGTATACTTCTAGTCAGGAATAAAAAAAAAAAAAAAAAAAAAAAAAAAAAAAGGAACTACAGTAATTTCAGTTAAATAGCAGTGGGATTACAAAAATGCAAAATATTACTTCATAAAATGCAAGAAAAATGTGACTACACACTGTTAAGTATTTGCCTGGAGTAGAAATACAAAACTCTGGTTTTAACTTGATATTTTTTCTTAAAGGTCTAAGGAAAACTATTTGCTCAGGGGCTTTTTTTCTTCATAGAAAACATGTGAATCTGTCCCATAATTCCCATATTCTTTAAATAAGGAACAATTTTTAATTTAAACTTTTTTTTTATACCTTTATAAATATTTATTTTCCAAATGTGGATCTGGTCCAATTCCTACATGGCTTATTGCCCACTCTCCTAAATTTTGTTGAAGGGAGTCTGGTTTTTGGCAGGGACCTCAACTTTGCTATGGATCCCCTATTGGATGTCTCTCGGGGTTCTTCCCATCTCTCTCATGCACGTCTTAGACGTTTGAAGGGTGACCTTCAGCTTTTCTGCTTAGTCGACCCGTGGCACTTGCTGAACCCCCAGTGTTGTGATTATTAGTTTTTTTCGCCTGTCCATCATACTTATTTACACCTGGAGTACCTTCTGATCTCTCATCTGGCACTTCCTTCTGTGGTCTCCAAGCAGATTGATGTTATTTCTTACTCTGACCGCTCTCCGGTCCATTTTACCCTCAGGTTGGATTCGTCAACCCGTGTTCCTCCTTCCTGGAGGTTGAATGAGACCCTTCTCCAATCTTCAGATACTTGTGCCGCCCTTGTGGACCGCCCTTGTGGAGTACTTTGTGCTCAATAACGACTCGGTAGATAACCCTCTTATGGTATGGGAAGCCCACAAACCGGTGGTTTGGGGCCTTTTGATTTGTGTTGGTGCACATCTCAAGCAGGAGCGTTCTCGCCAGATTGACAGCCTTCTGCAGGATTTGAGCAGGCTTGAGTGCTCTCACAAAGCGTCCTCGGCGTTGGCCACTTATCTTAAACTGTCTCGAGCTCATGCGGTCTCTTCTCTACCTTAAGATGAAGCAAAAACTGGCATGGGCTCGTCCCTCTATGTATGAATTCTCGAGTAAGCCGGGCACTTTGCTGGCGTGGTCTCTCAGAGGCCCTCAAACTTATATTCTGCACATCCAAACCCCCTCGGGACAGAAATTGACGGCTGCTGATATGGCTACTGAATTCCATAGATTCTATCGTAACTTATACAACTTAGGTCCCTCCTCTGCAGATAGCAATACACACCAAACAGAGCATGTGCAGAGTGACTCCACAGATATGTCTTATCAGGAGATAAGAGGGGGACACTGGAAGAAGGGGAGGATCAGATAAGTCAGGATAAAACAGCGATTTTACACAATTCAGAGGATTAACCCTTAGGTTCCACAGTGAGTATAACAAGCATGCTTTGCTGCATATACAGACTGATTTTGCTGTTGTGGGTTTAGTAAGACTTTAACAGAGTGGCTGAAGAGCAAAGAAAAGGTAAGTATGTGCTGCTACGTAGGGGGGGCACAAGATGTGCTAGTTGCACTACTCTGCATGTTCACTTTGAGATCTGCAAGGAGTGCATACATACAAATCTTTCTTGCTAAGCCACAATTTGGTTTTGCCATCTTTATCCTTTTTAAAAAATATTAAAATTTAATTTAAAGTGGTTGTATACCCTTTCATATACCCAATGAAGGTGACCGGCCTCAAGTGATACTCCAGATGGAAACACATCTTTCTATATAAAACTTGTACCTGTTTATCTGCAGTCTTCCCTTTTCTACAGCAGTTCAAAGTGCTAAATTTATATAGGATCTCTAAGCTGAAGTTACATCAATGGAGAGAGCTCCAAAAGCTGATTAAAAGAAAGGGACACATCCCCCTTCACACAGCAACAGAGCTGAGGCTGTCAATCTGCTGGAGGTCTCTCCCCTGTCAAGCTTCTCAGAAGTGACTCATGCTGATAGAGCAGTGAGGTAGCAGACAGAAATGACACTCTGGACTGAGGCAAATACACACTATAGAGGGATATGATGTGTTCATATTTTATGTCTGAGGTTTACAACCACTTTAAAGAATCACTGAAAATGAATGCCTCTGTTTCTTCCTACTCCCTGCCCATCTGGCTATTTTATTTTTAATAATCAAAAGCTTGTACTTTTGAAAAACAGAACTACTAGCCAGATCACCAAGTGAAAATAATGCAAAGAAAACATAAGAAAGAAAACTAATACCACCATCACATCTAAGAATTGGTAAGCTGGAATATAATAAATGTTTTCTTTTGGGTTTAATACCGTTTTAAATACAAATGCACTTTTCCTGCAGCCATATATCTTGCACAAGATATCACACTATCATTTCTTATTGTATTTCACAATAATACCTAAGCTTAAGCCACTTTTTTCATTCACTTGTTTTTTTATTACTATCAAATCATATGAATTCATTTTTAAAGTATTCCTAATTTAACAAACACTAAAATATAATTTAACATTTCATGAAATAAATGGCAAGTCAAACCAAAAATAATATTTTGGTTTTATAAGACATCAAGTGGACAGAGTCAGCTGATGTTGCCTAGTATCACAAAACAATTCCTGGGGCATGGTCTCTACATCACAGCTCCTGCCAAAGTCCAGTTGCCCACTTCAACGTATTTCCACCTTGCATGTTACATTCTCTGTAATGTAAAAAAAAAAAAAAAAAAAAAAAACTGTAAAATCCAAACAGGGAAAGTTAAGCCATCTAGTAACGGCCATGGCAGGTGTGCAGGTCTGAGAACTCAAACACACAGATCTTGCAACTCGAGTCCCTGAGAGACATAGGGAAATGCTGAGTGGTTTAATTCCCAAGTATATTCCAGACATTGAAATATGAGTTCCGACCTTTTAGCAGAAGGCAGTTTTGCCTGCAGAGAACTTAAAACTGTTCTTCCAAATAGCAAACGCATAAGTAAATCAGCAACAAAGAAAAAGGTCCCTCATACATTTTCTTGTCATGGTTCTTCAAAGTCTTCTTCTGTTCTGTTGTAGCAAAGTAATTTCTCATCCAGTCCATAACTTTCTATCAGATGCGTGAGACTACTCTTTTTATATCTCAGTAGATAAAGTTGTTTGAAGTTCATAGAGCAAAAGCTGACTACCTTTTCTCCATTTCTCTATTAATGACTGCAGTTCTGTCAGATTGTTCTATAATGGAAAAGAAAAAAAACAAACATTCAAAAACACATTGGACATGTACATTGATTAAAAACAAAAACACACACACCACACAATAAACCTCTCTCATTGTGATCCTTTTCTAGACCACACTAGCCCATGGGCCGCATGCTGTCCAAGACGGCTATGAATGCGACCCAGCATAAAATTGTAAACCTACGTAAACACTGAATTTTTTTTAAAAAAAGGTTTCTAAATATTTGTTCTTATTTAACGAACACATGTGCCCAAAAAAAAAATCTCCCACTCTTTACAATCACGCCTTATTCATGTCATCAGTTTTCAGCAGCAACTATTTACGGATGAAGCACACGAAGGGCAAAATTAGAGGCAAAATATCTGATGATCACCTTGAGAACTGCTACTACATCCATCAAACTAGATGTTTGTTTATCATAAACAGGGTCAAATATCGCGCTAGTTTTTGGTTGCCCTCTTTTACAATAAAAAATATTTTTTAAAATTGAAGTTTTATTACTCATATTAGGTACAATGTCTACATCAGTGATCATTAACTTGTGATCTGCCTGACTTTTTCTGCTCACCAGCTATCCTTACTGTTAGTGTATTTTATGTGTGACCCAAGACAATGCCTCTTTTTCCAATGTGGCCTAGGAAAGTAAAAACATTGGACACCCCTGTTCTATATCCTTATCCCATTAAAGAAAAAAAAAGGCCTTTAAAAAATTAAAAAAAAAAAAAAAAAAATCCTCACTTTTTGATTACTTACTTATTTTAGTTCAAGAGAGATGTTATCATCAGCTCCTTTCAGATTCACTATGCTCGGCACCAGGGGGAGGATCCAGGGATGCAGCACAAGTCACATATGACGTGATTGCTATGTGGCAAAGGTGTGATCAAGGATGGATGATCTGCTGGGTCCACAGGCAGCTAAACACCAGAAACAGCAACACTCTGTGCTACTGGAGCATACAATCTGGATGATAAACTGCAGCCAGTCTGTGAGCACCCAAAGAACACTGTCCCTGGATGCAAACTGTCTGCGTCTAGGGTTGGTCCCTAATCATGTGTAACCGATTTTCACCAGCAGCCACCCCAGATCACTTGTCTGAATGAGCCCAACCACACGCTTGTCTATGTTCTACTCCTCTTCAGCTGGTAGCAATCTGGGATGAGAGCACATAAAAATGAATATCGACTCTCTCAAAAGGTGCTTTGGCTACCAAACACATTCCAACATAGAAAAAAATATTCCCTAATAAAGTGGAGTACAGGGAGTAACTCAGATGTTCTCACAACATCTGTCAGTGTGTGGATTACCAATAGCCTGTAATACACAAACTGTGTGTAATCATGTTACCAGCAGCAACCCAGTGGAGAGCAACTGTCTTTTATAAAGTCACAAAAAAAAGCCCTAAACATACGGATTGTCAAAGGCTGATTACACAACATCAGTATGAATTTGAAACTGCTAATGGGATTTAGAGCTGAACCAAACCTTATACAGGTTTACAGGCTCCTCTCCAGTACTGAAATAGCTCATTTTGGTTTCATTGCATACTGTGAGCTTCTCACAGTGTGTATTAGAAGCTGCAACAAGTCAGAAAGAGCCCACCTGGTTCCCTGGCTGGAGGACACCCAATATCTTCTATATATATATATATATATATATATATATATATATATATATATATCTTTCAATAGCCCCTCACTACCCAGTCTGACTTGTATTTCAGTTGTTTCAGTCATGGGGGCTCAGCATTACATGTGGGTGTTACCTAGGGCAGTTTGCTGTTTTTAGGAAGCCATGTACAGCCCCTCTCACCAGCCATGATCTGTCTGTCTATATTGCACAGGGTCCCAGTGATGACATAACTGTCAAAAAACAAGGTATGTAATGAAGACAAAAAAAGTTTTACTTAAAAATGTCATTATGTTAGTGAGAGCAGAAAGGAGGAACCAGGGAAGGCAAAAATAAAAAGGAAGGCTGCACATTACCTTAGAGCGATACAATTTAACCATATTTAATCTCCTTAGAATTTCTTCCTTCTCTTCAACTCGCTTTAGTAACCTCCTTTTCTCCTGCAGCAAATCTTGCTGGCTGGTATACCTAGGGGTGGTTGGTGTGGAAATTGAAGGCAGATAGTCTGAAACTCTGCAATCTGCAGATACAACAGTATGTTCGTGTGTTATGGAGCTTCCCTGAACATCCTGGGTAGGGGTGGGACTGCTGGCACACTGTGAAGGCATCTCACTCTCTCCACAATCAATTTTCAGCCGTTTGGCCACTGTACATGGTGAAGTGAAAGATCTTCGCATTTTCCTGAGCCTCTCTCGAAGAGAGGCGCTCATGGGCTATACAGCAAACACAAAACAATAAGTTAATACCACTCTGCATAACATTTGTCCACAGTTCTTGAAAAAAAACAGACAAAATATTTTCCAGTAACTATCTGTACACAGAAATACGTAAAAACATATTTGTGTACTTGAACGGCTTCCCGACCGCCCTATAGCAGAAATAAATACTGCCGGGTGCGCAAAATCACGTATATATACACACGGCCATCCAGAGCAGTGTGCTTACAGTGAAGCACACACACACCCCGCCCCCCCTAGTAAAACACTCCCAACACAGAGGTAACCCTTTGATAGCGATCCCAGATAGCGTCAGATTGACAGTCAGTACATCAGTAATCACATTTAACCCCTTGATTGTCAGGAACACACTCGGATACACAGTACACCTCCACTGCTAGTATAGCGTCTGAACGGATCAATATCTTTGATCAGATCAGCACTATACCAGCATTCACATTAGTATAGTGTCCCCAAAAATGCAGGATCAGCCTCGGCACCTGCATTTAGCCCTACGCTTACCCCAACCCCCCCCCCCCAGCAAGTGCAGCGTCAGTAGGTCACTGTCACTTGATACACTGCACACAAAACTGCAGTGTTCACAGAATCAGGCCTGATCTCTAGCGCTTGCTGGTAAATTTTGATGACTATCATATGCAGCAGAGAGCCAGTACTAGTGCCGCTCTACATTTTGGTGAACTGGCGAGCACCAGCAGTCTAGTACGTCCTGGTCTTTCACAAAACCAGCACTGCAGTATCACTTGGTGACATGGCAAGTCCCATATGTGCAGTACAAGCTGGTGCGGCGGCTAGCACAAGTATTGTTCCACAACCACCAAGCATTTGCACACAGGCCCGAAGAGCCCCTAGTATCCTTCCGGATGTGCTTGCAAATCCTAATTGGCAGCCCACAAATTCTGCCTCACCCGCACGTCCCCCATTCACTGCCCAACTCGGAATTCAGGTGGAAACAGCAAATTTAACTCCTCCCCTTGATTTTTTTGGAGCTGTTTTTCACGGAAGATCTGTATGCATTGATTGTGGATCAAAGCAATTTAATGCACAACAGTTTATCACCTCCAATCCACATTCAAACCTTGCCAGGCCAAAAAAATGGAAACCCATAACGGTTTCCGAATTTAAATTTTTTTTTAGGGCCTAACCCTCAACATCGGCATTACTAAAAAAAAAATGAATTGCGGTTGTATTGGTCCACAGACCCAATTCATCATATGCCCACGTTCTCTGCTGCCATGGCCAGGCATAGATAAGAGAGTATAATGCGTTTTATGTATTTCAATGACAACACACTCTGTCATCCTCAGGGTGACCCTGAATTTGACCAGCTCCACAAAATTTGGCTCCTCATAAATCACCTTAACCAAAAATTTGCAGGTGTCTATACTCTCCAGCAAAACATCTTCTGACTGCCTTGCATTCAAACTATTTTTCCCCAGCAAGCGTGCCAGATATGGGCTCAAGATGTATAAGACCTGTGAGAGGGCAACAGGCTATACATATAAGTTTTGGATTTACAAGGCAAAAGATAGTCACGTGGAGCCCCCTGGATGCCCAGACTACATGGGGAGCAGTGGCAAGATAGTTTGGGACTTGGCGTCATCCTTTTTCCATATGGGGTACCACTTATACATGGACAATTTTTATTCAAGCATGCCACTATTTAGACATTTGTACAATTTTGGAAATAGTGTATGTGGCAACGTGCGACCTAATTGCCGGGGCTTCCCCCAACGGCTTGTAAATACCAGTCTTAGAAAGGGGGAAAGCCTGCTTGAGAAATGAGGATGTCATTCAGCTGCAGCACAGACTTGTTTATTCTGACAGCAATAGGATCTTGCTCTCAGATTATACATAAGTAGGTGTTTCCAGTGCTGTTGGATGAGATTTTTCATCCGCAGTTAAAAAAAAAAAAAAAAAGAAAAGAAAAAAAAGAAGACCATACATGCCGAAGCATGGGGACCTAAGGGGGCCAGTGGGTGGATGGCCCATATGCTTTGGCATATATATTTTAGGGACCATTTCATGTGTGTCCACCATTAGAAATGGGTGGATGCAGGGCGGTATATTCTAATGGTGGGCATACCACACACTTTTTCTGGCAGAGATTTCTCTTTTTTCCCCCCATTCAGCCCACAGGCTGCATTAAAAAAAAAAAAAAAAAAAGGAACATAGCATATACACAACAAGGACCAGTGATTTAGAAAAAAAAAAGCCTAAAAGAAAAACTGATGTAGCTGTCACATCTAATGATTAGTACGGTGTTATAGATTACATTTTTGGTTTGGGGTTTAATACCGCTTTAGAAAATGTTTACATTTGTTGCCGCTGTATTTACAAAAAAATAAAATATCAGTGTTATTTCCTTCAGTCCCTCCTCTAGCCAGCATTCATCTTGTTGTACCCAAGCGAAAGATGGCTAATCGCCTGGATCTGGCTTTCAAGTGATGCTGCTGGTCGGGTAACTGCCATGCTGACAACAGATCACAACTCTTGGACTGAAATTGTGATCATGTGCCAATGAGTGAAAGGTAGTTGTCTCAATGCACACATTCTCACTGAGACACTGTGGAATTTACCAAGACTGGAGTAGTCAGAATCTAGGCAGCTGTGCATGGCTACCAATTAGCAACTATCTTTCATTTTCAAAGCTTAACTGAACAAGCTGAAGATAGGAGCTGATTGGTTACTATGCACAGCTGCTTCAGATTCTGTCTGCTATAGTTTTAGTAAATTTCCCCCTATGTGTAGTTATAGACACCCAACTTATGACAGTTTTTTTTTACATTTATCCAGACAGCTGCACTCTGAAAACACCCCGGATGTTTCAGAGTGATGCTGTCCAGATGTTTAGATTTTTCATTGCATTCCGCTCGACAAACACACCGAGTGTGCGAGGGATGTGGAGGATTGTGCTAGCAGGCCAACTTGGAGCAGCATATTATTCAGCTTTTCTTCCATTGTTACAGGCTCATGGCACTGGGCTCCTACCAACCAGTGAGGCAAAGTGATGACAGGCCCTCCTAACACTACCATTTTTTTTTTTCTAGAAAAAACATGGAAAAGCTAATTTCCAGTTCTTACATAAGAACCCTAATATCCATGTGTGTTCAATCAGCACCATGTGTTTAGCAACAGTTTGCAATTTATGATGCGTGACCCTTAAACTTCCAAAGCTATTTTTTTTTTTTTTAAGATTGCTAACATAGTGTATTTGTTAGTCAGTATTTGAAAACTGAAGTCTGCCTCGAGGTCTTGTCAAATCATTGCCTAGGGCCCCAGAAAACAGAAAAAAGATAATTGTTTCAGTATGTGAAATGCAGCAGTGAAGTGACTCATTTATGAAACTCTTACGATCATGAAATAAAACATGTATGTAGCTGTACAAAAGTTACACAGATACTTCTGGATTTAGTCAAGGTAGTTTATCAAACAAAAGGGGCAATGATTTCTGCCCCCTCTCCTACCCTACAGCCCTCTCATGATCATATATTTTACTAAAGATTTATGAGTTAGAAAGAAAAAATGTGAACAACACTATTCTACTATGATTGAACGTCTAATATATGGTGTGTTATAATGTTTTACAACATACAATGTACAGTATGTTCCCCAATAAATAAAATTAATGAGAGCTGAAAGTTTTCATAATCTGTCTTTTGCTAGTAGTTCTCAGGAAAATCCTATGCTCTATATAAATTTATTTCCTGGGCACACTGTGGTAAAATATATGTAAAGCCAAAATGTTTTTTTTTTTTTTTTTAATTAGGTAGGGAAGCATTAAAACCCCAATCAGATTTTCTTTGCCATCTATGTCTCACTGGAGGGATTCTCCTTCACTTCCTGTCTCATAGACACAACAGAAAGTGGGGAAGTCTTTGGTAGGACAGTTTTCACCAGGAACAGGTTCCCATATTGGAAAAATTCCTTTACATTCTTGTTCTAGTGACAAATGAAAATTTTGGCAGATCTTCATTCTCTTCAAGTGTCACAAAAACAGTGCATTTTCTATCATTTTCAGACCGAGTGACAGTAGTCCAATAGAGAGGGTGAATCTCTGTAGCAGGTCACAGCCAGTAATAAAAACCTGACAGTTTCTAACCCCACACCACTCCAAAAAAAAAATAGTTTTAGCTTTAGATAAGATTTATCCTTAACTTAGTAGATAAAAGATCCTTCCAGTGGAAGCCTCAGTTTTTCTTGAATGCTGTATCCACACAATGCAACTTCAAAGTGCCTTCTCTGTACCCCTGGACCTACTAAGTGGTTCTAACTCACTTCAAAGTTCGCAATACAGAATGCATCCCATAGTGCAATTTGGTTGTTTCTGTGACCAACTGGGAGGCACCAGAATTGCTTCGTAGGGTGCAAAGTAGAGTACTCCATGTTCCTTGCATGGCTTCTGGGGGGCACAGCAGTCTCCACAAGTACCAGACAGTGCCAACCAATGTGGAGGGTACTTTACTAAATTTCCCTGAGTACGGGTACACTTTAAAAGAAGGATTTCCAACACAAATTAAAAGTTACTTACTTGTTTAGCAGGTATATTGTTTTGAGGATCTGGGGAGCCAAGATACTTTGAAGGATTTTTGAGGTTTGGGGATTCTGTGGAAGGCAAGTCCATTGCTGCTTGAATCCAAGCTTTCTTGCTATAAATAGAAGATAAGAAATAAACAGAATTTAAATTAACATTCTTAAAGAGTAACTCCATTTTTGTTGAGGAAAAAAAAAAAAAAATTCCTCTGGGTGATCTATGCACATAGCAGGGATTTTAACAAACTTTGATGCAGAGTCCTATCTGTTGTAATTCTGTCTATGTGTAGAGTGAATCTGTACCAGAGTGATTTTATTATTATCAGTCAGCTGCTACACCTGCGGGGTTCCAGTGAGGAAAGTTGCAAGGTCTGCATCCCTTTAGACATGATTTCCTTTTGGGAGTATCTCAACAAAAATTATTTTTTTATTGCAGGGAATGCCTAAAAACTGACTTGTATCCCAATGCAGACTTCTGGGAAAATCAATGAGCCAATCACACAAGCAGGAAATTACATTTATGGGGGGAATTCTGCACACCATCTGTGTACATATTTAATTTTACAGAAAAATTACAGTGCTGCAGATTGAGAAGAAAACATACATTTTTTAATAACATTCAATTACAATATGACTTGTGTAACAATTGTGCATGCTACATTTTTTTCTCTTTTATTTGCTATTTTTTTCCCATAAATGTGGAGTTACCATTTAAAATAAAACGTTGGCCATACACTGATAGATTTTGGCTAGTTTATGATGAACTGGACAAAATTCAAGCCATGGGTTGTCCAGTTAGCACCACTCAGCCTGTCATCCTTTGCATGAAAAAGGAAAGCAAAAATTGCCAGCCCACCAAAAAGTGACTAGAGCAACAAGCTGCAGCCACTGTTTGAGTATTCATGGGTGCCAACAGTCAGAATACAATATCTGGCAGAAGAGATTCCGTCATCAATGCCCTTTAACATGGATGGGGGTATCAATAGATTTCCTTCATTCAGCCTGCGGGGCTAAATGAGAGAAATATAAAAGTGTATGACCATGTCACACTAGTCAAAATGTTTGTATAGGTTCTAACAGCCACGTACCTGAGAACGAAGACCAGGACCACCTGTGATTCTGATGTGTATACTGACATGTAAAAAAAAATAATGCATTCTGTATGCAGGCCACACACTAGTGCTGAAACAAATAATCGATTATAAAAATAGTTAACTATTTTCATAATTGATTAGTTGGTCAGCTTATTAGTTAGCCTGCATACAGAATGCATTTTTTTTTTTTCATGTCAGTATACACGGTGCAGCACACATACAGCTTATTACACTGTCCATACAGGTCAGTAAGTGTATGAGAACTTGTGAATGTGTGAGGAGCAATGCCCTCATGGGACATGTAGTTCTGGACAGGAAAAGGAAGTGAGTGATTCTAAGGGCAGACCTTTTTTTTTTTTTTACCTTGCTATAGGGGCACTCTGAAGTCAGGAGGAGCCAGAAGTGCCAGTGGAGGACCCCAGAAGAGAAGAATCAGAGCTGGTCTGTTCAAAAACACTGCACAGTGCACGTAAGTATGACAATTTTGTAGTTAAAAAAAAATCCAAGGTTTACAATCACTTTTTGGGCTCTGTGCAGATCAACATTTGAACCCAGAGAAGCTGGAGGTAATAGAAGGCATTACAACTAAATATAAAACAAAATTTACCAGTATTGTGCATTAGATTTTAAAGTATTATATCCATGCAAAAAAAGTCTCAGACTTTAGTACTACTTTAATATAAAAGATTTATATCTCACCCCCCTTCATGTCTGACTCCCAGTTAAAATACCCTGTACATCCTACCTGAGGGAATATTTATATATGTTATACATTATACCTTTCACAGTATAAATTACCCCCTTAGAGTAGTGATTTATCTGCTGCTTTCGTACTATAAAGGGCATTTTTTTGTTTGTTTTTTTTACCCCATCATGACAGATGCTGAGAAAAAAAAAAAAACATGCTGCTGCTACTAAATGTCTTATGTTGGCCATACACGTATGGACTTTCTGAGAATACAAAAAAAATCTTTGTACTTTTGACCAATGGGCAAATGTCGTTCGAAAGTTTCACTTGCTTTTTTTGCATGAATCTGTCATGCATAATATTACGGTATATCACAGTCCTGTCTGGAAATTGGCAAAACAACATTTCAGGTCTTTTTACTTTTTTTTCCCCTTTGAATAAAAATTTTGATCTCCGAGTCTGATATGTACCAGATTCAACCTCTAATAGTATGTACAGTTTATCTCTACTGTCTGTTATTCTCAGAGTGGATCAGATATTTTGCTCCCCAACCATATAGCTGGTTATTTACCACAGCATATACTGTAGATATTCAAGAATAAATTGTATTTTTTGAAACTTTGCATATTAACTAAATTATACATCAAACATTTGTTTTTTTATTCGATCAAAACAATAATCAGCCAACTTATTGATTATGAAAATAATCTTTAGTTGCAGCCCTACCCCACACTATCATCTTCCACACTTATGTCAGTTGGGAGCTGGCTGTCTATTCCAAATTTTTGCAGCTGCCCCTGATGACAAGCATGACCCCAAAATCAGGGGGCCAGCTGCAGGAACCAGAAAAAGACAGCCACCAACCCCCTTTTAATGCGTTGCAGCACATGCACTGCACAGAACCCCAAGGCCTCATGGGATGTGTGATTACTCAACATCACTTAGGTGAGAATCCCAGAAGTGTGGGGAGGGGGTCCCCAAAAAAGGCAATACATAAATAAATAATACATGTGCAATTGTGGAAGAGGAGGGAGGTGGGACTGAAATGATGGAAAGGGGTGGGGAGGGTAAAGGTCTGCTTTAAAGAAGCAGGGCCAAAACTCTTTTGGCCCTACGTCCCCTGTAGGTCACAGGAGTATACTTAGTTCTGCATTACTGTAATCCACATTTAGCAAACAGCAGGATAAATCCCACATCATTCAGCTGTTTCAGACTCTGTAGAGATCCCAACTTTAATATCGGGATCCATCCAGATGCCTGAACTGGCCGTTGGCTCAGCCTCTCAGCATATTGCTGAGAGCCTGAACCAGCCAATACTACCCCTCCACAGCCCAGGGATCCAGTGAGCAATTAAGAGGTAGAGCAGAGACCGGCTCTCTGCTCACTGAAGACTCAGAACTAAGTGATTAGTGGTCTTTGACCGCTTACTCCTCGGGGTAGAGGTGGTAGGAGCCAGATGCAGTGTTGGATCGATGCATCCACCCACACTTCTCTATGAAAGGCTAATTCCACCTTTTAGATCTATATTTAGAATCTAAAGTTGGCCACAGGTGGTTTGAATCTCAGCTGGTTCCGCAGGGACTGGCCGAGAATTGAACCATGTATGGGCATGCTGATTGTAGCCAAGTTGATCAATTGATCAACTTGGGTACAAATAGCCTGTCAGATTTTACATACATATGATTATTTTATAGCCGCTATCAGCATTTACTATGTTCTTCCAGCAGGGATGGCTCCCCTTTGCCACCCCCCGTCTCTGCCAGGAGAATACAATGGCTCTGCAGGAGGGATTCCCCCATCAACACTGACTGTGTTGATAGGGGAATCAAGCGATCTTCTAAAGAAAATTGCTATGGCCAGCTTTAAATGCAACAAGGTTGTGATAAGATGCAAACTTCTCCCCCACTCTCACACTGCTCACTCTGACAGCATGCAAAGGTTTTTCTCTCTCGCAGCAACTGTCACTTTTGTGAGGATGTGCAGCACAGCCACATTATTTCTGTGAATGAATAAACTACAAGTCTTGTCTGCCACTGCAGCAGGTGGACTTGTAGTTCTCAATGGAATCCAAGTGAATCCGAACACCTCTGTGCCTGCCTCCCTGGTGGTGATCTCTGCACTTGTAGTCCATTGACACTTCCTCCAGATCTCTAACTGAAAGGCAGTAAGGTATGGACAGAGCTGGATAGGGTTGCGTTCAGCGCCCTACCCACGCTGCCATTGGTGGCTACAGCTGTGGATCACTGGGTCCCAGATGGAGATTCTCCGCCAGCACCCGGCAATCGCTGAAGAACACTGACAGGAGAGTGGTCTGTATGTAAACAATACAGATCTCTCACCTGTCAGCACACTGCTTTGTATGGCTCTGCATAGCAGAGCCATACAAAGCTGCATGCTTACATAGTAAAACAGCACATAAAGTGAAACACAGTTAACCCTATGATGGCCCTAAATGTTAACCCTTTCCTGCCCAGTGTCATTAGTTCTAGCTTTTTATTAGCACTGATCACTGTATTAGTGTCACTGGGGATGTCAGTGGCAGTTCCCCCCCCCCCAGTCCCACTATAAAGTTGCTGATCACTGCCATTACTAGTATAAAAAAAAATTCCAGTATCTATACCGTTATTTGTAGATGCTATAACTTTCACGTAAATCAATTCATTTACACCTATTGGAATTTTTTTTAGCAGACATGTCACAGAATACATTTTGGCCTAAATTTATGACAAAATATTTTTAAAATTTTGTTACTGGACATGTTTTATAGCACAAAGTAAAAAATGTTTGTTTGTTTTTTTTCAAAATTGCCAGTCTTTTTTTGTTTATAGCACAAACAAAAAAACAAACACAGAGGTGATCAAATACCACCAAAAGAAAGCTCCATTATAGGGGGGGAAAAAAAAAGGACATAAATGTAATTTGGGTGCAGCATTGCATGACAGCGCAATTGTCAGTTAAAGTAACGCAGCGCAAAAAATGGCCTGGTCAGGAAGGGGGGTAAATCCTTTGGAGGGCAAGTGGTTAAATTAGCCTCAGAATCATTTAATGTGTTCGGTTTTAAAGGAATGAGGTGGCAACCCTAGAGCTGGAGAAAGAGTCTGCAGGAGTCTGTGTATTGCAACTTAATGTGCGTGCAATGCTTTGCAAATTCATTTGCAAAAAAAAAAAAAAAAAAAAAAATTTTATTAATAACAATATAAATATTTATTTTTTGCAAAAGTATTCAAACTGAACCCAGATATACTAACACTCACTTTGTAAGTAATCAGCATCTCCAACTAAACCAATCCCTATATGCAATATATATATATATATATATAGGTTTAGTTGGAGATGCTGCTTACAAAGTGAGTGTTAGTATATCTGGGTTCACTTTGAATGCTTTTGCAAATTTATAAATATATATATATATATATATATATAAATATATACACACAGTATACTCCCAGACTGACTCAAACCAATAATAACACACAACACAGTCTATCACCTCCTTGTTATTATTAGTATTCCTCCACAACTCCCACCATCTCCTTCCTCCGTGTGCTCTGTCTGCTCACACTTCCTGGTTGTGTGCTGCTGGTCACATGACCCAGCTTCTTCCAATCAGCATCTACTAAAGCTGTAGAGTGAGAAATCAGGCTCACTTCTCGTAGAAAGCAATCAGCTTCCAAGTTGTATTGGTAAAGTGTAACTGAACAAGCTGAGGTTAGAAGCTGATTGGTTTCCATGGAGAAGTGAGCCTGATTGTGCACTCTCCAGCTTTCCTCAGTAAACCCCACAGATAGTTGTTTCCTTTGTATCCTGTGCAGACCAAAACACTGCCTTGAGGTAGATTGCAGTGCATGGTGTAATATATGCACTGCGCTTCACCTCATGGCACAAAAAAATGTCATTTTGTGTCTTTTCAATTTAAAGAAAAAAAAAGGTAAACAGTACCTTGCTTTGTAACAATGCCCCTGACCGCCAGTACACAATGGACACCAGTGTACCCCCAGTTTAGCATGCAGGCTGGTCGGAGTGAACATGCCCTTAACTACATTTGTCAGTTTTTTATTATTCAGCGCATTGGTTTGAACGAAAAAAAAACCTGTCGCAATTCCCCTTCTATACTTTCAAGGTGGATAAGGGAATCCTCCCCGTGTTTTTGTATTCTGATGGCGGGGAGACGTCCCCAGAATACACTGATTAGTGTTGCAGGGTACTGAGCAATGGTAATCTGACAGGGCGGTTTTGCAGAAGTTGCTCGCTAAATCAACTTCTGTACAACCACATTGCCCATACATGGATCAAAATTCGGCTGATCCCTGCTATCCTGGCTGAATTTCAATCCATATATGAGCAGCTTTTGACCAGCGCTTTCAAACTTTTTTTCAGCTGTTCATGACACTCTTTGGCCTCATTTACATATGCTTTGTTCTCAGAAGAGAGATCCATGTTCAGATCACACTTCAGAGTGCATTTAACAGGCAGTGAGGAGGCATTGTATCACCTTCCCCCCACCTGTTTCAACCCCCTAAATGCCAGACCCGCGTGCGTTGTGAGCACATCTCTCCCCACTGTCAATATATGAGCGTGGAGGATTCCTCCATCCATCCTCCTCAAATGTGTGAATGGGGAAATTGCGTCATTTTTTTTTCCTTCAACCTGCTGCCTGAAAAAAAAAAAGACTCATCTATGGGCTGTTTTACCTGATCCCAATTCTTACTTTGAGACCTGGAGCTGTCAGTGGCAGCTCAGTCTCCAAGCTGGAGGGGGGGTGTAACTGAGCATGCTCCCAGCACAAACATATGCCACATATATGCAATGCAACAAAGTCCTCTTCTGTGATGCTGAATATATATGCCATAGATAGAGGACACCCGGGGGGAGAAAGACTGAAGCCAAGAATGTTTGTTTACATCTACACAAACCCTTTGGCTTTATTCACATGGCCATGCACCACACAGATTAGTGTATTTCTGGGGTGCGTACAGCCAGGTGTTTGCAATCAGCTGCACCCCATTTATCTGTGCACACCAATGACAGGATGACACTGTCCGTGACTTTTTGCATGCAGTTGGATTTGCAGCGATTACCTGCAGTGTGGGACAAACAAGCAGTCCTGGATGCAAACTGCATATAGATGCTCATCTGTTCCTGACTGCAGCCACAGGCAGTATAAACCTGTCATTGGATTGTACAGGTATCCTGTCTGCAGCTGATCGCAAACACCTGCCTGTACCAACCACAGAACTACACTATATTCCCAAACATATTGGGATGCCTACCTCTACATGCACAGGGACTTTAATGGCTTCCCAGTCTTAGTCCGTAGGCTTTACCCACACTTATACCCCCTCCCTGCCCAGGCCAATTTCCAATTTTCAGCGCTGTCGCACTTTGAATGACAATTGCGCGGTCATGCAACACTGTACCCATATGACATTTATATCATTGTTTTGTGACAGATAGAGCTTTATTTTGGTGGTATTTAATCACCTCTGGGTTTTTTATTTTTTCTTAAACAAACCAAAAATCACTGAAAATTTTGAAAACAAAACGTTTTTTCTTAGTTTTTTGTAAAATTTTGTAAATAAGTGATTTTTCTCCTTCACTGATGTACCTTAATGAGGCTGCAGTGATGGGCACTGATAGGCTGCACTGATGGACACTGATAGGTGGCACTGATGAGGAGGCACTGGTAGGTGGCACTGATGGGCATTGACAGGCATCACTGATGGGCACTGAAAGGCAGCACTGATACATGACATTGATATATGGCACTGTTAGGCGGCACTAACTGGCACTGTTAGGTGGCACTGACAGGCATTGATAGGCTGCACTGATGCGCACTGATTGGCGGCACTGACTGGCACTGATAGGCGGCACTGATTGGAATTGATAGGTGGCACTGACTGGCACTGATGGGTGACACTGAAAGGCAGCTCAGATGAACACTGATATGTGGCATTGATGTGCACTGGTAGGCACTGATATGTGGCATTGATGTGGCACTGGCACAAGGCACTGATGAGCACTGACACAAGGCACTGATGGACACTGACAGGTGATACTGCTGGGGCTACACAGATCATCAGGGCACACTGATCATCAGTGCCCTGATGATCTGTGTACATGTCCCCTCCGCGTGACAGGCTCGAGAGGAGAGAAAAATGCCGATACACAGCTGATCACATGACTGAGCCGACATCTTCGGCTCTTTCCGTGATCGGTGATCCACTGTGTCCGAGGGACACAGCGCACTGCCGATCGCCGCGCTGCGTGCTCCTTGAGCCACGCATGCGCGGTGAGAATGGGAGGACGTCATATGACGTCCTCCCAGAACAAGAGAACCACCTTGCGTCCGTTATATTACTATATGGTGGGCGGGAGGTGGTTAATATTGAGTTGGTCCACCCTTTGCAGCTATAACAGCTTCAACTCTTCTGGGAAGGCTGTCCACAAGGTTTAGGAGTGTGTCTATGGGAATGTTTGACCATTCTTCCAGAAATGGGGTTGAGGTCAGGACTGTGTGCAGGTCAGTCAAGTTCTTCCATCCCAAACTTGCTTATCCATGTCTTTATGGACCTTGCTTTGTGCGCTAGTGCGCAGTCATGTTGGAACAGAAAGGGGCCATCCCCAAACTGTTCCACAAAGTTGGGGCATGAAATTGTCCGAAATATCTTGGTATGCTGACACCTTAAGAGTTCCCTTCACTGGAACTAAGAGGCCAAGCACACCCCTGAAAAACAACCCCACACCATAATCCCCCCTCCACCAAACTTTACACTTGGCACAATGCAGTCAGGCAAGTACCGTTTTCCTGGCAACCGCCAAACCCAGACACGTCCATCAGATTGTCAGACAGAGAAGTGTGATTCTTCACTCCAGAGAACAGTCTCCACTGCTCTAGAGTCCAGTGATGGCGTGCTTTACACCACTGCATCCGACGCTTTGCATTGCACTTGGTGATACAGTATAAGGCTTGGATGCAGCTGCTCAGCCATGGAAACCCATTCCATGACCCATATGGAAGAAAAATATATTTGAAATATATTTTAAAAATATTCTTCCCAAATATATTGCCATATATTTGAAATGCTACAATTTTGGCCATATCCAATATATTTCAATATATATATATATATATATATATATATATATATATATATATATACTGCATGTTAAAATGCATTTTTATTACAAAATATTTATATTAAAAAAATCTGAAGAATATATTTACAAAAAATATATTTTTAAAAATATATATTCTTTAAATATATTCTTCTGATTTTTTTAACATATAAAAAAGTATTTTTAACATATATTTTTACATATATTTGTAAATGCATTCCAAAAATGTAGATTTGTATTTTTAAAGACAAGCAGTATATTTTAAATGTATGTTTAAAAATATTTTTCATATATTTTGTAATAAAAATGCATTTCAACATGCAGTGTGTGTATATATATATATATTGATATTGATATATATATATATATATATATATATATTTATTTATTTATTTAAATATATTGAATATGGCCAAAATTGTAACATTTCAAATATATGGCAATATATTTGGGAAGAATATTTTAAAAATATATTTCAAATATATTTTTCTTCCATGTGGGGAAGCTCTCTACACACTGTTGTTGTGCTAATCTGAAGGCCACACAACGTTTGCAGGTCTTTAGCTATTGACTCTGCAGACAGTTGGCGACTTCTGCGCAATGTGCGCTTCAGCATGCGCTGACCCCGCTCTGTCAGTTTATGTGGCCTACCACTTCGTGGCTAAGTTGCTGTTGTTCCCAGTTGGGACTCTATCGCCTCCCCCTGGTTCTGGAGGACCATGGAAGCTTCCAGAAGCCAGTGGGCAGGAGGGGTGGAGACCTAAATCTTCATGTTTATGGGAGGCTGGCCAATCCAGGTTTGGAAGCCCTGGTAATGTGGTAAGTCTAACCCAATAATATGAAAGAGCCATGCTAGCAGAGGAGTGGGGTGGAAGATGAAGTGCTGAGGAGGCTTTTGGCGGCCTGGGAGGGGTCCCCTAGGTCTGGGAGGGCTTGGCCCCCAGGCTGGGCTCAGGCTGGCTCAGGAAGATCCATTCAGCATCACGGTAAGAAACAGGATCATTGCCTGGGAGCAAGGAGGACAAATGTGAGTACATCTCAGCACACCAGAGTATTCACGCAAGGGTGAGAAGAGACTGCCAAATGTAGCAAGCTTTCAAAAGGATAGCGTTGTGCTCTATTCCTTTATCTTTGTCCCTGGGAGATCTTTCATAGCAGCCAGGAGGGCTGTGTATTGTCTTCTACACAATGTAGAGTTATGGGGAGCGCAGTTCTACAGGGGGACAGCAGATACTTTCTGCATGTAGTTTGCAACGATCTCTGTTGATTAACTTTCAGTGGAACTGCTGAGAAGCGTCCCTACCCTCTTAAGGGGGGCTTTTGCTACTGTATACTACTGATAAACGCACTTAGAACTTACCGCATTCAAGGAAGACTACAGTCCAGGATCTTTTTCTGTAAATAGGAAGTGTAGCACC